GCCCACCTCCCGGTCCCCAGCCATGACGACGTCGGCGCTGCGCCGCCAGGTGAAGAACCTCGTGCACAACTACTCAGAGGCGGAGATCAAGGTGCGAGAGGCCACCAGCAATGACCCCTGGGGCCCGCCCAGCTCGCTCATGGCTGAGATCGCCGACCTGACTTTCAGCACGGTGGCCTTCGCCGAGGTCATGGGCATGCTGTGGCGGCGGCTCAACGACAGCGGCAAGAACTGGCGGCACGTGTACAAGGCGCTCACGCTGCTGGACTGCCTGCTCAAGACGGGCTCGGAGCGCGTGGCCCGCCAGTGCCGCGAGAACCTCTACACCATCCAGACGCTCAAGGACTTCCAGTACATCGACCGCGACGGCAAGGACCAGGGCGTCAACGTGCGTGAGAAGGTCAAGCAGGTCATGGCCCTGCTCAGAGACGAGGAGCAGCTGCGGCAGGAGCGCGCGCACGCCTTCAAGACGAGGGCGCGCATGGCGCTGGAGGGCGTGGGTGGCGGCACAAGAGGCTCCCCTTCTTCGTGCACCTGTGAGTGAGCCCCCCACCCGGGTGTGGCTGGGCCGGGGAGGGGACCCGAGGGCCAGGCCTGGCTTTGTGGTTCAGAGTTCTGAGGACCCCGGGGCACAGTGCCTGGCACACAGCAGGTGCTCTCCAATTAGCCACAGGGCAATGTCACCCTGTACATGTCATCGTGCCAGCTTGCTGTTGTTTACTGATTTCTCGCACGGGGTCTGGCTGTGTAGTTCAGGTTGGCTCTGAACTCACTGTGTAGCCCAGGCTGGCCGTGAACTTGCGGGGAATCCTCCTGCCTCAGCCTTCTGAGTGCTGGGATCTCCCCCTCAGCCCCCTGGCAGGCAGAGGGTTATGGGGGCCGAGGGGACAGGTGTGGTTGCAGTAGCCACAATGCTTGTTGCAGCTGCTGCCTCATCCCCCCGCTATGCCTCGGACCTGGAGCAGGCAAGGCCCCAGACATCAGGAGAAGAGGAGCTGCAGCTGCAGCTGGCGCTGGCCATGAGCCGCGAGGAGGCTGAGAAGGTGAGGCCCCCGCCCGCTCCCAGGGACAGCACAGGGCCTGTGTGTGTCCTGGGTCTGTCCTGGTGCTGTTGCTGGGCCAACAAAGGGCCGTGTGTGCTTGGGGTCCACAGTGTGGCCTGCCACCTCCGCCTCGTGTGGAAGGGCTAGGTGCGGTTGGATACATTTCTAGGCAATATGGGGATACTGTGCCCCCAAGCTGTCCTGTTAGGACTCCTGACTGCTACTATTTCTTAACCATCTTCCCTTCCTCTGCCTCCTCCTCTTCTTCCTCTTCCTCCTTCTTTTTCTTCTTTTCCCTATTTTTCTTTCAGTACTAGAGATTGACCCCAGGGCCTTTGCACTGAGTGACATCCTTGGCCCTTTTTTGAGACAAGGTCTCGCTGTATCTTCCAGGCTGGGCTCCAATTTGCAATCCTCCTGCCTCAGCCTCCCAGATTGCTGGGATCACAGGCACACACCCCTATGCTAGGCTTGATACCATCTTCTTTGCCTCAACCTCTGTGGGTCCGGGCAGACAGGGCCGCATGCAGCAGGGCCTCCCATGGCAGCCCTGGGCAAGCTCTCAGGGCACAGGGTCGGGGGAGGATCAGCTTCCTGACCCTTTGGCTGCATCTCGGAAAGCGGGGAGGGGCATGCCCCCACTGCCCACCCCACACCGCCTTTCTCTCCGTCCCTGTCTCTGGCAGGGCTCTGCTGGCCCAGGGCTGGCAAAGGCCCAGGCCAAGTTCATCCCTACTTTCCTCCTCGCAGCCGGTCCCCCCAGCCTCCCACAGGGACGAGGACCTGCAGCTGCAGCTGGCCCTGCGCCTGAGCCGGCAGGAGCATGAGAAGGTAGTACAGGGCCAAGCGCCCAGGCACAGGTGCTGGTGGTGGTGCTGCGTGGCTACCGGACGCTAACCGGCTTCTTCTCAGATGCTCTAACCTCAGCGCCGCCCTCCCCTGCTGTCCCTGCCCGCAGCCTGGGCCTGGTCAGGTTCCCCGAGTGCAGCCCAGGCTGGCTCACGGCCCTCCACTTCTGTGCCTTCTGCAGGAGGTGCAGTCCTGGAGAGGAGAGGACTCCCCGGTGGCCAGTGGTCCACGGGCCTCTGCTTGCCATCGGAGGGACAGAGATCCAGGGAGAGAGGAGAGAAAAGAGAAGCCGAAAACCGGCCAGGTAGGGAGCGGAAGGTGTGCGGGCCAGCAGGCCTGGGAGGCGAGGGAGCTGCGTTTGTGAAGTGTGCGCAACTGTCTATTAATGGAAACGGGGTGGAGACTCACTGTAGCAGCCCAAGTCCCCAAGCTGCGCGGGCTGGTGCCTGAGCTGACAGCAAAGCAGGAGGCAGTGACAGAATCCTGGTCGAGACCCTGGATGGGCTGCCACTTTCCAACTGGGGACACATCACTGACCTGGCCTCAGTTTCTCCTTCTGCACAGTGGGCATCTGGGGGCAGTTCCAGCTGTGATGGCCTGGATTATGGTAGACCGGATAGAGACTAAGGCTGGGCTTAGAGACACGGTGCTGAAAACATCGCGGGCACCCCAGCAAGACCACCCTGCCAGGCTCTGTCCCCTTACTGCTCGTGTCCATTGTGGCCAAGTTCTTGGACACCCATCCAGGCAGGAAGGATCGCTGTACAACCTCCATCTTTGTCCTTTCTGCTGGCCTGGGTTCGAGTCCCGCTCGGCACCTCCCTGGCTGAGCAGCTTCAGGCAAATCCCTGTTGTCTCTGGGCTTCACGGGCTCAGCTCTGAGTAGGTTAGCACCTGCCCTCCCTGCCTGCGGGATTCTTCGGAGAATTGGGACCTCGGTAGATGAGGAGGCCTTTTATGGAGTGGGAGCGCGGTGGAGAGGAAGAGGGTCACGAAGGGATGTCTGTGGGAGGAAGAAAGGCGGGAAGCCGCTGCAGTGGGCGGGCAGGTCAGGGCCTGCCTCCCTCTGGGCCCACCTGCCTCTCTCCCAAGGCTGCCTTTGCCCTCTGCAGCCCTCCATCCTGGACTTGGCCGACATCTGTGTTCCCACCCCGGTGCCGCCCTCCACGCGCTGCTCTGCTGACCCGTGGGACATCCCAGGTGGGCACGCAGGTTGGCGACAGGCCCCCCGCTGGTCCTGTGAGCCCCTTCCTTCCCAGCTCCCTGCTGGAAGCCTCCTTCCCCTCTAGCAGAGCCATCTCCCTGAGCCTGCACTGCTTCCCGGCCCTCAGCTGAAGAGCCTGGGGCGCAGGGACAGCGGATGTTCTCCTGTCCCCCACACTCGCCCAGCCCAGCCCTGACTGGGAAGGTGGCCACGCTGCCCGGGCTGGGGGGTCCAGGCTCCTGGAGGACCTGCTGAACACGGGCACCAGCTCACTGCGTGGCCCGGTGTCAGGGCCCCAGTCAGAACCCTCACCTCCCTGCTTGGCCCTGGACAAGAGGGGCGGGCGTCTGGGTCACATTTATGTCCTTCTGTTCCAGGTCTCAGGCCGAGCACAGAGCCCAGTGGCTCCTCCTGGGGGCCTTCTGCAGACCCCTGGTCTCCGGTCCCCTCGGGAAACATGCTGTCCCGAAGCCAGCCTTGGGACTTGCTTCCTACACTCTCTTCCTCGGAGCCTTGGGGCAGGACCCCAGTGCTGCCTGCCCGACCCCGCGTCACAGACCCCTGGGCACCAGACTCTCCTCACCACCCACTCTCCAGCTTGGGGGCCGACCCTTGGGGGGCCTCCACGGAGCCCTTTGACACACCTGGTAAGTGGAGGCAGAGGGCGTGTGAGAGGCTGGGGACTTCTGGGTCCGCTCCCCCCAGCTCTGCAAGGGCAGAAGCTGCTGTGTTTAGGGGGCCATGGCCCTGGTGGCGACGGTGGGGGGCAGTCAGACCAATGCCTGCCCTACTTGAAGCTCTTCCTCGCTCCTCTGCTAGCTGTAGGTGGTGTCTCAACCTTCGACCCCTTTGCCAAAACCCCAGAACCCACAGAGACCAAGGCAGAGCTGCAGGGTGCCCAGGCCATGTCCTCTGGGAAGCCCAGCAGCCCCATGGGTGAGCAGAAGGATCGCTGAGGTTCTGGGAGTGGGGACCCCGGCCAGCCTCTGTCCTTTGCTCAGTGGCCAGACACCCCCACTGATGAGCTCTGTGTTGTCACTAACAGATCTGGACCCGTTCGGAGAGCCCAGCCCCAGTTCCAAGCAGAATGGCACAAAGGAGCCCGATGCCTTCAGTCTGGGGGTTCTGGGGGAAGTGCTCTCACCTGCGCCCCACAGTACGGAGGCCCATGCCCGCCGCACCCCAGAGTCCTTCCTGGGCCCCTCGGCCTCTTCCCTGGTCAACCTTGATTCGCTGATCAAGGTACCACAGGCTGCAAAAACCCGGAACCCCTTCCTGACAGGTAGGCACCCCTAGTCCCTGGGGACCTGGCATCCTGCTCTCTCTGTGGTCCTGTCTGAGCCCTAGAATTTGACTCTCTCCCCTCATTTTACCCTCAACCCCTCACAGGTCTCAGCGCTCCATCCTCCACCAACCCATTTGGTGCAGGCGAGCAGGTTGCACCCACCCTGAACCAGATGCGCACCGGATCGCCTGTGCCCATCATACCCATGGGGGTGTCCCTGGGCTCCATGACCTACAGCGCCTCCTTGCCCCTCCCGCTTAGCAGCGTCCCGGTGGGCAGGACCCTCCCTGCCTCGGCCAGTGCCTTCCCACAGGCTGGTGCCTATAACCCACTGGCCCCGAGCCTGCCGCCGCCTCTGCTGCCCACGTCCAGCTTGGCTGGGTCGCTGCAGGAGTCCCGGCAGATGGACACCAACCCCTTCCTCTGATTGACTCGATGGCGACAACAAGGAGCCCCCCTCTTCCGGCCTGGGCAGTGCTTGTAAAGATTGAGCACTGATTGGACTTCTTGGACTGCAGAGAGCTCCTGAAGTTAGAGATGAACCTCCTTCGCCGGAGCTGAGACCACACCCCCACAATAAAGACTGGAACCCAGGTCCTCAGCTCTTACCAAGTGGACTTTTTGCCCGCTGTGGCAGCTAGGTCAGGACCACAGCACAGATCACCCGCTGCAGAGGAAGTGATTCCTCCACAATCTGGAGTGCACAGATACTCCCATTTTCCTTACAGCGCCACCTCTACTCCTCTCAGCCTGGCGCCTCTGCTTCCAGATGCTCCTGGGCTGTTGGGCATTGGGGTAGTCAACAGCCAAGGGCAGCAGGCACTTGTTTTATGTATTGCACACTCATTAGTAGGCTAAGCACTTTAGGCAGAAAACTGTTTCATCATGGCACTGAAGTAGATAATCCCATTGCTTCCATTTAACACCGGCCACAGAATTTGTTGCATTCAGTGCAGAATGAAAACACAGGGCTCCATGCTCAAAATTGGGTTAATTATATATATATATATATTTTTTTTTTTTTAAGTTTTTTTTAAGTTTTTTTGAAACAAGGTTTCACCTTGTAGTTTAGGCTGGTCTTGATCTATGTAGCCCAGTCTGGCCTCTGACTTGCAGGGATCCTCCTGCCTCAGTGTCCTAAATGCTGACATTACAGGTGTGTGTCACTATGCCCAGCCCTAAGAATTTCAAAACAAGGAAGCTGAACATCAGTCCATGCTCTTAGTGCATAGATAGCCCTTCCCAGGGTAATTGCCCTGGTTTCTGGCTTACGACTGCCACTACTTCCATTTTATAGAAGAGGTTGAGGGACGTGCTATAAGTCACAAAACTAGAGGGAGCTGTGGGGCTGGGATTCAGAGTCAGGAAGTCTGGAGCTTCCAGGCTGAGCCCACGTTTAATTTAGCAAATACTGATAGACTGCTATGGATAAAGTAGTGGGTTGGGAGCGGTGCCGGAACTGAACCCACAAATCTTAGGAGCTCAGTGGACGCAGGACACAGGGGCAGGGTGCATAGCTGCAGCACAAGACAGAGCCAGGAGCTCTCCTGCCCCTTTGTTTTGAATCCAGTGAGCTCCCTGCCACCTTTGCCGGTAGCCATTGCAGCGAGACTGCCCCTTTCTGGGGCTTAGGCAGAGCTTAGGAAGGCAAAGGCAGGTAAGCCTGGTATTCCCTCCATCCCGGGTGCCTCCAGAGTCACCCTCACTTCTAACGATGCCCCCATCACTGGTCACTCATGGGCCCCCGATCTCAGGGACTCGCCCTGCAGACCTGCTGCCCTCTCTACCCTCTTTGGGGGCCAGAAATACCAAAGTTGGTGGCTGGGGACACAGTAGCACTCTCTTGCCTGGGGTGGGGTGGGGAAAGGGTCTCACCCACACTGCTGTGGACAGGATCCAGAGCACTTCCGTAGGAGTCAGACCCAAGGGCTGAAAATTGCTCTGCGGTTAAACTGGATGATAATAACTGCTTTGTAATAAAAAGTGGTTATTCTGCTTGACCTCAAGTAAATCACTTCAGCTCTGTGTGTGCGCCTCTGTTTCCTTACATGTCAAGGGGAGTCACGGGGTTACTATGCAGCCAGTGTCCCTTCCGTGGAGCACTCACCCTCCCCAGACACCCTGTCACTCATTCCTGGCTTTGTCAAGTGGTACCCAAGTTCAGTTCACATCTGTCTTCTGCCCTACCTCAAGCCAGAAGGTTCTATCTTCCTTGGTCCCAGACCCAGCTCTCCCTGGGGACTGTTCTGGTCCGTGGTGCTTCCTGATCCCTGCAGCCACTTCCTGTCACCTGTCCTCCTAACTGGGCGGCCTGCACCCTCCCTGCCCCCAGGGCTGCCACACCCCATTCTTGGGATGCTTTCCTCTCGGCTCTGGACTGATTCCACTTACCCAAGAGGATGCCCTGACTACCCTTGACCCCTCACATGCCCTCGCCATGCTCGCCCTGTGAGGCTTGTAATTGCCCCAGATTCCTCCACCCCAAGCAGACTTCCTCTTCCCCATCTGAACCTTACTGCTTCTGGCTGCTGTCTCCCCTCTCATTAAGCACCCACCTTCTCCCCTCCAGCCCTGGTGGGACAGTGTCTGCCCTCCTTCCCAGCCACCCTGTCTGGTCTCCCACCAGTGTTCCCTCTGTTGTTGGCGCCAGCCCCAGCTTACTCATCATGTGCCCCAGGACCTTTGTACACACCGTTCCTTCTGCCTGCTATTCCAGCCTTCTTCCACACTCCTTCCACATTCTCTCCCCTCTTCTCGGTCACAAATGTGATTTCCCCTGGGGAGCCTTTCCCCTTGTCTGTCCCTGCCAGCCCCTTGTCCTATGATACCCTCTCACCACACTTGCCAGGGAGTGGTTGAATGCACACTTGTGTGGCTGTCAGAATCAGTGCCTGCAGAGTGCCAGGCAGTGAGCAGATGCACTGTTCCAGGTCGGCTTCCGGGGGTGGTAGGATTTGGGCAGGCAGAGCCAAGCAGTTTGCTCACTTGGGTGGGCCCGGACAAGACCCTGGGCTAGAACCTTATGTTGTAGTTTTAAAGGGAGTAAGAATTGCCCCAAATGAGCCGTGACTGAAATCGAAGGGCCCTGCACCCCAGGCTTTCCTGGAGGGAGTGGGCATCAGATTTCAGGTCCGGACCCAGTCCTCTGGAGCCAGATCCGAATCTCATGCAGCTCCGCTGTTGGCCGCTGGACGGCGCTCATAGACAAGCCACGCAGTCCGGCCCGGAACCCACGGTCCGCCGCCACCTAGAAGCCATGCCGGGAGCGAGGGCCTGGCTGGGCTGCGGCCTCCTGCAACCCCAATGCCCGGCTGGACAGAGTCGTGAGCCGCAGGTAGGATCGGGGTCCACGCTCCCGCACCCCGGTGCTGGCCCGCAGTCCCTGCTCTGGATTGCCCCTGCGTGCCCCACCCCATCCCGAGCCACCCACTCCTGGCCAACCCACTCTTCCAGCCGCAGGTCGCCCGAGCTGTGCTGATAGCACCTCCAGGAAGCCTTCCAGGGACGCAGAGCTGGGCCAACGCCCCTCCCCAGCAGCACCACACCGAGGCCGGTCACAGCGACGCAGTCCCGTGCCATTGCAGGGCCTGCAGCACGGGGGATTGAACCCTGGGCCTTGGCACTGAGCTATGTCCTAGCCCTTTTGAATTTATTTTGAGACATGGTCTCACTGAGTCACTAAATTATCTGGACTGGGCATGACCTTGCAGTCCTCCTGCCTCAGCCTCTCAGAGCGCTGAGATGGCTGTGCTCAGCTGGGCCTGTCGTTCTTTGGGTCTGTTCCAGCACCCCTCTTCCAGAATGAGTAACCTGCTATGGGCGATCTGCTCCCCCCGCCCGCAGTCCTGGTGGTCTGGCTGGGGACCTGGCCCTGCAGGCTGCTTGGCACTTGGGTGTGAGCAGGAAGCGCCTGTGTTTCTTTCCTTCTCGTGGCTCACCATGGTCCAGTCCCAGACCCAAGCCTTCTTGACCCGCCTGGCCACCAGCAGCGTCCCCCTCCCCCAGGCATGCCCAGGACCACCTGGGGAGGGGCCTGGCTGGGCCTCAGAATGGAACCGGAAGCATCATTCTGTCCATTGTGACCCGCTCTGACTTCGGTCACCCTCCCCATGCCAGGTCCAAGAGGTTGGGGGAGACAAACCTGGCAGGAAGCTCCCAATGAGCCACTCTTCCTCATCCCCCTCAAAACACAAGGGGGAGCACAAAGGCCGAGGCCTCCCCCGTGGTTCAGAAAGGTGGGTGGGGCCGGGAGCCGGGGTTCTTGGGGGTGTCTGAGGCTGGGGCAGTGGTCACAGGGGACACAGGGAGCCATCGCCTGCCTGACCCACCCGGCCATGCCAGGGGCAGCTCTTCCCGGGACAAGGACCGCAGCAGCTCCGTGCCCATGCCTGCTGGAGGGAAGGGAAGCCGGACTGGCGGCACAGCCAACACAGCCCAGAAGGTCCCCAACCGCCTGATCAATGAGAAGTCCCCGTACCTCCTGCAGCATGCCTACAACCCTGTGGACTGGTGTGCGCCCTCCCCAAAGCAGCTGGGGGGACAGCCCCTCCTCGACCCCGCGCCCTGACCCTGTGTGATGCCCTGCCTTGCTGGACCTAGGTACCCCTGGGGACAGGAAGCCTTTGACAAGGCCAGGAAAGAAAACAAGCCAATCTTCCTCTCAGGTGACACACCCGCTGCCCTGAGTGGGGAGGCGGGGCGCGGTGGCGGGAGGGGGACAGACAGGTCCTCTGGGTCCCGGCAGGCTGGAGGTCAGGGCCACCTCCTTTCCAGTGGGGTACTCCACCTGCCACTGGTGCCACATGATGGAGGAGGAGACCTTCCAGAACGCGGAGATCGGCCGCCTGCTCAGCGAGGACTTCGTGAGTGTGAAGGTGGACCGCGAGGAGCGGCCGGACGTGGACAAGGTGTACATGACCTTTGTGCAGGTGAGCGCTGCCCACGCTCCAGGACAGAGGCCCCAGTCGGCCCGGCCTAACCCTGGTCCTTCTTCTGGGTCCCCACAGGCCACCAGCAGTGGTGGGGGCTGGCCCATGAACGTGTGGCTCACCCCCAGCCTCCAGCCCTTCGTGGGGGGCACCTACTTCCCCCCTGAGGACGGCCTGACCCGCGTGGGCTTCCGCACGGTGTTGCTGAGAATCCGGGAGCAGGTGGGTGTCAGCCGCTGCCCGGGTGGGGGCAGTGGGGAGGCGCTGTGGCCCTGGCGGTCCCAGCGAGGACAGGGGTCCCCGCCAAGCTGACCTCAGCTCCCCGCCCCGCAGTGGAAGCAGAACAAGAGCACCCTGCTGGAGAGCAGCCAGCGGGTCACCTCGGCCCTGCTGGCCCGCTCTGAGATCAGCATGGGCGACCGCCTGGCGCCACCCTCGGGTGCCACCATGAACAGCCGCTGCTTCCAGCAACTAAACGAGGGTTACGATGAGGAACACGGTGGCTTCGCCGAGGCCCCCAAGTTCCCCACCCCAGGTCAGTGCCCCCTGCCCTCCTGAGTGGCTGTGTCCCTAACCCTTGACCCTGGCCTGGCTCACGTTACTGGTCTTGTCAGTCACTTTCTTCTGTTCCCTGTGGGCTGTTGATTTTATTTTTAAACCCAGCGCCTTCACACTGAGGTACATCCCCAGCCCTTTTAATTTTTCTTTTGAGACAGAGTCTCACTAGGTCGCTAAGTTGCCAGGTTGGGTTCCAACTTGCGATCCTCCTGCCTCGGCCTCCCAGAGTGCTGGGATTGCAGGTGCGCACCACTGCGCTTGGCTCTGGTATTATTCTGCCCTCTTGGGCACCGACTTTGTGACCTCTGGGTTGACCGCGGGCTTTGTGACCCTGGCCTGGCCAGAGGCTGCCCCTGTGGAGAACCTGCGCCCCGGC